TTGTTTTATTCGTTTCATTTTATTTTTCCTTTTTTGGTTGAGTAAACAACCTTTGAATTTGGAATGTCATTTTATTGAATAAAAACAGAAATAGCATTTCTGAGTTGTAAATTCATACTATTACTTAGCCACTAGGCTATGCTAAAGTATAGTCCATTTGTTCAAGAACACTTCTATCTTCACAGTATACACACAAGAAATACCCAGGAAAATACATTCAAAAGCTGGAATCACTTAACTATTCAAAATCTAGCTGGCAATTCATTTAACATATTTATCCAAGGATTAGTTTCTATAATTAATTTACATGACATATTCCAAAAGAATAATAAATAAACCCAGTGTTTTGCTAAACGTATGTCTTGCAGTAAGGCCCAGTTTGGTTTTAAAAAGATGGAACCATCATTATGCTCTTCTTATCCAAATTAAATATCTATTTTCATTTGTAGGTAGTTAGTTCTACTTATAAAAAATACAAAAAAACTATAATGTATAGTCTTGGACTAATTAGTTATCAGAAACAGGAGTTTTAGACCAGATATATTTTACCTTCCAGTTTAAAAAATACACATATTGATCATTTTAAAATGCAGCAGTTGAGAACCAAACACCTATGAAAGTCTCAAACAATTTTTAAAAAGTACTCTAACAATACAAATCCATTACCTTCCAATTCATTGTTTAATCCACTGAACAACTCTACCTATAAAAAAAGTTTGCCATATTTTAAAGATAAATTAATCTTTTAAAAAGCTTGGCTTGCCTCATTTTAAATGATTAATTATCCATTTGTTAATTATTCATTATAGGAGGAATTATTGACAAAACACAATCCAGCCCTAAAGCAAAATGCTATTAATCTATAATTCCTGTTATATTATTGCTTTGGTGGGTGATGAATACTTGGAAGAAATTGTCTAGTTAGCTTTCTTTCTCTTCCTAAGTGTAATTAAGTGCAGTAAAATTCATTTAAGAAGCACTTCAGAAAGAGACAAATACATTTATGCTTGTGAACAAAATCACATTTTTCCACATGCATACACCAATACACAGGAGTAATATTCAAACTAAAACTATTACCACAAAGGCACTAAGAAACCAGAACAGATGCTTGTGGTAAAGCACTTTTAACTATCCCTGCCTACAGGGATCAACTGTTATTAGAGCAATGCAGAAAAATTTTAATTCTGGTAGATTACTTCTAATATTAGTATTAAGATAGTTTTTACTGAACCACTATTATGGAATATGATACTCTTAATTTAATTTTGCTATACAGGGCCATGATTTCGTTAAGCTCTTGTCCAGCCATGCTAACCTTGAGGAGGTGAATCTCTTCTCTCTGTGTCTTTCTCTGTCTCTCTCTCATCTTTCTAAATAACTATATTTTCCTATCTAAAAAAAAAAATTCTGTATAACACACTATGTTAGCAGACCAGCATCACAGATATTTTCAGTTCTAGAATTTCTTCACTTTGCATACCACAAATCTAGAGATAACTGAATATCTGAAAATGCCTGTTAGTATCTCTTAGCAATGGGAGATAATGACTCATATGGCTGGGATATGAAGCATTCCTGGTCTGAATCCTTCAGGGAGTTTTTGAGCTTTACGGATTGAATTGTGAGACTGTGTTATGCCCTCTTCTGTCTTTCCCTTCACCTACAGTCTCAGGGCAACCACAGGGCCATTCTGGGAGTCTGAATTTAGTCAAGAGATGTGATAAAAACAAACTGTCCTGCCATGAAAATGAGTGATGCAACCCCTTCTCCTCAAAAATAAAGCCCTATGAGGGGAGGGCTGGATTGCCTCAGCTGCCCTGGAGCATTCCAAATCAAGAAACTGCCAGATTAGAGCAAGGATTTCTTCCCAATGGAGAAAGAGGTTGCAGACCCTGCTCTAGGCCCACATGCATGCTCAGTCTTTGTTCCTGGAATAAGTTGAAGGCTCTGGGGGGTATTCACCATGGTGCTGGCCATGAGAAAATTAAGGACCATCTTGGTGTTATGAGTGATAGGCTTATGTTTCTTACTGTGTCATTCATCAAAAGAAAAAGGGTTTTAATTTGTGTTTCCCTGATTATGAGTGATGCTGGACATTTTTTCATATGTTTGTTGGCCATTTGTATATCTTCTTCTTCTTTTTTTTTTTTTTTTTGAGTTGGAGTCTGACTCTGTCACCCAGACTGGAGTGCAGTGGCCACAGCCTCAACCTGCAAGGCTCCGGCGATCCTTCCGCCTCAGCCTTCCAAGTAGCCGGAATTACAGGCGTGCGCTACCACACCCGGCTAATTTTTTATTTATTGTAGAGATAAGGTCTCACCAAGTTGCCCAGGCAGGTCTCGAACCCGTGGGCTCAGGCAATCCACTCACCTCAGCCTCTCAAGGCACGGGATTACAGGCTGAGCCACCGAGCCGGGCTTGTATATCTTCTTTTGAGAGATGTCTATTTATGCCAATCTCCCATGGAAATAATAGACACTGAGGACACCGATAAGGGGAAGGGGCACTAGGGTCCAGAAACTACTCATAGGGCACAACATTCACTATCTGGGGAAAGGACCACCTGAGACCCAATCCCAACCACCACACAATATATCTATGTAACAAATACACATGGGTATCCCCTGAATCTAAAATTAAAAAAAAGAAAAAAGAAAAAGGGATTGAGTAAAGAATAGTAGAGAAATAACTGCAGTTCCTGGAACATACTGTGTTCTTTTATGCCTAGCTCCAGACTACACTAGTCTGCAAGCACTTTAGAGCACTAGTACGCTCTCTAGTCTTAACGTTTCACAATAGCTGCAATGAACTTGTCCTCATCATCAGCTCAAAGCCCTTCTGGAACTCCTACCTTCCTATAGGCTGTCATGTGACTAGACTGCCATTCCTCCCCACAGTTTACCTGATAATTTCATCCTTCAAGTTTCATCTTAAAAGACAGGTCTCTCGTGAGCCTTTTGTTGACTATTCCCAGCAAAAATCAGATATTATTTCTGCCAGGTTCCCATTCCAGTCTTCTAGCACTCATCTCTCACTATCAGAATGATATTGGTATACAAGTCTGAATCCCTGACTAGTCAGTTCCTCTAGGCTTGCAATGGTATTTTACTGAGGTTTGTATTGGTTAGAACACAGTAAGTGCTCAACACATGCCTGATACACAAGTTACTGATAAGTAGGTAGACAGATGCATGGCCTAAATATTAAATCCCAGAAACTCCATTTGCATTAGGAGCTGAGTCACCAACCTTGCTTTGCTTTACTATATTAAAGATGCAAAATGTCAGCTATCCAAATTACTATTCCTTTTTATAAGCCCACCTTCCCAGGTACGTTTTCCCTTCTGTGGAGCCTGTTCTGACACTATATACACTGCCCACCAAACCAAGGTAACAATACAGTTCTTACTCCCATCTCAATTGCCATGGATAGCTTTGGGTTGCCCCGTGCCCAGAGCCTAACTCTGTTTTCACTGATGATTGTCCAAAGAATTCTTCTCATCTTTTTAAAAATATATATTTTATTTTAAAGTTGCGGGGTATAATTCAGGATTAGTTTTACAAGAGGACATTGTACAGGTAACGTTTGGGCCCCCTTCTCATCTTTTGAACCATCAGTTAGTGCTACCTTAATGCTGGTGACCTGGCTCCAAAGTCAGCAGATCCCTCATTTTACAAGCATGTACTTTCTAAGAGTGCTGTGTCTGTTGCTAAATCCAGGGTGCACCACTCAGCAAGTAAGACAAATAGTCCCATTCCTTTCCTAATGGCTAATACCCCATGCTGGGATTTGGCTGCAAAAAGTTCTGAAGTGTTATTTTGAGAAAGTCCTGGGTTTTTTAAAAACTCCTTTTACTGTCTTCGAGAGTTCAGATTTGTTTCCTCAGCAGCCATAAGAAACGAAGAACTCTGGCAGAGATGAAGGTTGGCTCTGACCCCTGGCAGTCCCGGGGAGACAGCCCCTGTGCTTCTTGCTAATCCATCAGCACCAGTTTCCTTCGGTATTGATCTGGTTTTCACTCATACTTTGTATGAACATTCATATCCCTCCCGTCAAAACTCATAGAGCCTTCTGGGTTTTATCTGAATCATCTTTTAGTTTCAATGTATTCTATGTGAGTTTAACTATTTCTAGGGATCTCAATGCAAGGATTGTTTCAAATATTACACATTTCAGTGCTCTTTACCAATATGACTGATGTGTAATACTAATACAACCAAGTATTAATATTGTGGTAACATGCAGACAGTTATATTAATTAAGTACTCATGTATGGGGGAGACCCCCAAAACCTGAGAATTATGTTTCAGAGGACAGGTCCCTTGTAGTACAGATTTCCTTTACTAGGTAAGTGCTCTAGGAACCCATTGGCATCAGCTGGCATTCGTATGAGAGCCTCTGTATGGCTTCAGTGAATTCTTTTTGTCTTCCACCATGACAACACACTTGCCCATACCACACTGAATGTTGAACAACTTTTGACCAAAAATGGCATGGCCCCATCCTCTACCCTCCCTATCCACCCAATCTCATCCAGAGTAACTTTTTTGTTTGTTTGTTTGTTTCCCTGGATGGAAAAAGTCCTCCAAGGGAAACGTTTTGCCAATGTGGAGGAGGTGAAACAAAAAATGGCAGAAGTGCTAAAAGGCATCCAAGTTGACAAGTTCAAAAACTGTTTTGAGCAGTGGAAAAAGCATCTCAATAGTTGTACTGCATCAAATGGAGGGTACTTCGGAGGTGACTGAAGTTTAAACATGTAAGAATGAATACACACTTTTTAATAAATAAATTCTGGGTTTTTTAGGTCCCCCCCCATATTTAGCTATTAAGATGTTTATGGGTCTAAAAAGTCAAGCAAAACAACCTATATATGTAATTTTTGGTAAAACTCCTTATGGAAGTCTGATATACTGATTTTTTCACTAAACTGACAAAAACGTTACATTGAAATGAAATCCAATAATTCAGGGGAAAAATATTCTCACATATACACTCACCCGCTATGCTTCATATGTGCTGGTTTATCCATTCGCACTGCCAGTTTGATTTTTAAATCAGTGTCCTGGCTATTTTTTGGAACTATCATTCGGTGGAATTCAGCTGACTTGGAGCTATTAGAAGTTGGGTATAATATCACCTGTAAGAAAACAAAAAGAAAACATTTAAGTGCACGATGCAGAGTGCCAATGGGTTGAAACTGAAATATTTCCTATATGTTTGAAAAAAAGGTGTCAACATCCATATGTATCTAATAAACTATTTGACTCCTCCACCATAGCAGATGGATTTTCAATACAGACTCATTTATTTGTTGACAAATCTGTGTTTTCACATTATCACATAATGAGTTTTCTTTATGTGTCACTTCATAATGAATTAATAGCACAATAAGTTGCAGTTGAGTTGACACTGAAAAATACTCAGTGGACAACTATAATTTCAAGAATATTCTAAACTCTGCAGGGCAAAGCAGTTCAGAAAGAAATAGTCTTTGAAATTACAGATAACACGCTTAAAAAGCAAAACCAATTATTTGAAGCAGCACAAATATGCCTCATGTTTTAATACCTTTATGGTAAAACAATATTAAAGGAGATCAACTCAATTAGAGATGGAAAAAGACTGATCATTCTGCTCTAGATGGAAGCTAAAAAAAGATTTTCTTCCTGACTAGATGTCTTCAAAATTATAAAGATGATATTATAATGACTGAAAAAAATATAATTAATTTTAATAAAACTGCCAAATTACCAAGTGATTATTTTACAACCTTTCACTTCACAAAGTCAACCCAGGTAAGAAAATCCCACTTTTCAGATGTTAGATGTCATATAGATAAAATAAGGTATTCCCCCTGTTTAGTCAGTCATGACACCCTATATACATAGCCTATACCTGAGTTTTAGCAGGTATTTTTAAATGTGAGTATTATAAACTGAGAGAAAAAACAAAGATATGAAGCACAGTGCATTGTATTTAAGCCATTCTTATTTCAAACCAATGCAAAAAATAAATAAACCTGAAGTTCAGATGTTAACAGAAAAATTAAAAACACACTTGGGTATGCTAAAATGTGTCTACCTCTACAAACTTATTAAAACTAAATCGCAACATATGTTCTTGTGCATAAGCCCTAACGCAGCACAAGGTGACTGGTGAATCTGAAAATTATTTCTCTGTAATATTTTTTATAATTGTGCTTTACTACAACAAAACAAAGTTCAGTATAAAGTTTTTATAGATAGTTATCAATTTAAGGAGGTTGTCTTCTATTCTTATATTCAAAATGTAGAGTAAAATGTTTTTAAAGCACTTTGAATTTGACATGTACTACCCCTCCAAAAAAATCTTCACTTCCATGTATAAGTGGAAATATTCACCAAAAAATATTCAAGCAAGGTTCTCCTTCTCTCTAGGAAAGACAACACAGTATATGGCTTCCCAAACTAGTCTCAACTTACAAGTTGTGAAATGTATTTACTATTTTGAGTCTTTTCTCAAGTTTGTTCTAAAAGCCATAGCTATGTTGAGTCCAGCATATCCATATACTGAAGTATCATATAAAGGACATCCAAGAACAGGCTAAATGACATTTATGATGTTTTCACAATTTTGACATTACTGTAGAATTCATTTTGACTGCTAAAATACCCAATGTAATATTTCACAGATTCCTTAATAAATGAGAGTAAGGAAAAATAAGCTGATAGCTTTTGGCTCAAATCAGTAGACCAAGGAATAGCATTATCAGCTTAGAGGGTTACTTCAAAAAAGAACCAAAGGCTAAGATCAAGCTTTATTTATATTCTTTGTAGATTTGGTGGCTATTTCCTAACAATTCTGGAAAGCTTTTTTTCTCTCTCTTTCTCCCCACCCATCCCCCTTTAAAAATTATTTTGGCAGGAGCCATCTACAGACTTTATTGCTTTTTTATTCTTCCTTCTGTGTTTACATAAAAATTGGTATGGTTCCAGACTCTAAAAGTCTTACACAGGAAGGCAGTATTCAAAGTAAAACTTTTAACAATTTCTCATTCCATAAAAATGCTGAAGATAGATTAATAAATGAGATCTCAAAATAACTAATTATAGCTGATCTACAAAGTAAAGGTTATCCCAATATCAAATACCATTATTTCTGCCACATTTTTTTGATGCCTATTGCTCACTGTAGTCAATGGAAGACTATATTGCTCAGTTCTGTTCAATTAAATAAACATTTGAGTGTTTGCTACTTAAACAAAGATGAAAGATTGTGCATCTCAGCTCCACTTCAATAAGACTTAGTTGATCTCTTATCTCTGATAATATCAGTTCTTCCTGTGGCCCTTCTAACCCTAGGGTATGCAGTGGCTTCCTGATTTTGTTAATTTCTGTTTGGCTTCTCATCTGTTTGGCTTCTTTGTTCTGTCATATGTATGACTAATTCCCTGTGTTAATTCTCTTCCATTTGAAAGATCTGGAATTGTTTCTGTTTTCTGGACAGACTGACTGATAAAAAGTCAACACAGGCACATGAAACAAATGGAGGCCCACAGATAAAAAACCTACTATGTTTCTAAGAATACTGCATTGGCAAATAAATCCTAAACTTGGTCTTCCAAATAGTCTATAAAATAGTCTTCAGGTCCCCAAAGTGTACAAGCAGAAAGTGATCATATTCCTTTATGTAATTTAGCCATGGATGATAACAGAAAAGGAAGAAACTCTCAACGTGTAGAGCTTGGAGGGCCATGGAGGACAAGGAGCTCAGAGGACAAGGAAGTTCTTTTTAGACTACATAATATGGGTCGAATCAAGAGATCCTGTATACTTCCAGGGCAGGGGGTTCCTCACTGTGCTTGCCTGATAGAATTTCTTATTGTTATTGGACAATTACTGCTGTCTCTCTCCCATTTTTTCTTTTTTTTTCAAGTGAAAAACTTAACTGTAGTTCTCTTGTCCCAGCTCCCCTGTTGTATACTGGGTTTGTGCTCAGGCAGGATGGGGACAGAGGGTGGGGGGATGGGGCAATAGGCAGTTACCATGAACTTGGTTCATAGGTTGCCAGGCTGTGAAGAAGAGCCACAGCGAAACCTGATGCAGATGTTGGCCTGGATGTAAGAATGGGATAGGGCTATGGGCTCTTTCCCTTGAACTGATGGGAAGGAGTTCTATGTGTAGGAAAAACAATAACACGATGACTTGGTGGCTACAGGGATGAACTATGGCCGATCGCCTGGCTGTTCACCATGATTCATGTTTTCACCAGTACAGAACTGTTGCTAGCAAGCAGTTAGAAAGCCATGTTTTAAAACCCTCGTGGTTATCTAAGTAGGGGCAGGTGAAAGTTCTAGCTAATGAAGAAAGAGAAAAGTGAAACATGTCACTTTGGGAAAAGATGGTTAAGATACAGGTGTGCCTTCTTTACTTCACTTTACTCCTCTGCCAGTCAAATGCAGAGAACATCAGCGCTCTAGGAAATGAGAAAGCCATAAAATGGAAGAAACCAGAGCCCTGAATTATGACATGGAAGAAAGCCACACTTCTATCAGGAATACCCACAGTCAACTTACATGGTAGATATTGTTATGAACTTCTGAAATGTTGTCACTTGTTTATTACAGCCTTTAGCAGTATCCTGACAAGTACATTAACACAGTGTTTTGTTTCATGATCTTTCACAAGTGAATAAGTACCTAAATAATTATTCCTCATCATAAGCAGTTCTACTTCAACAGGATTTAATCCACGTACAGACAGGTATGGCTGAAGTTGATAGTCATAATAACTCAAAGACTGAATGGATATACACATTTACTAAGGATCTTCTTGCATTATCCTAGGTTCACATAGAAATTAAATTAGAGCTCTGTACATAATAGTTCATTTCTCATTATTTAGCAAACTATTCTGTTCTTTGTCACTCATTTCTCTTAACCTTTCTATACACATTTCTGCTTCTGCTAGTATATTTCTGTTACCAACACTTTAAATGTCTTGCCAGTTAGCATGACACAAAAAATATGATTTCTTATCTTAAATATAAACCCAATGTATCATCTTCACAATAAAATGTCAACATTACTTGTCATCTTTGCTAAGATGCAATGAAAACTACAAAATAAGTTTTAGGTTTTGTTTAAAATTCCATCAAATTTAACACACAGAAAGAAAAACTAAAAGTTTAAAGAATTAAATATAAACTATACATTTATATACAAATAGGCTTGAGTGAAATGGCGTTAAGAAGTATATTTTTCTTAAAATATCCTAACATAAGCTGCCTCCTCTACATAGTTTTTTGTCTATTGAGATACCCTGATTAAGATCAAGCCATGCACAATTATATAATTAAACTTTGTGACTTTTTAAAAAATATAATCAATATTTTTTATTATGATATTGTGGGGGTACAGTTAAGGGTTAGGTATACAAATATGCTTCGTTCAGGCACCCTTGTTGATAAGAGGTGTCTCCCCGTCCCCAGACAGAAAATTACTATCATTAATCCCATCTGCCTTCCCCCACCATAGTTTCCAACTACTGTCAGTCATTTTCTTATACTATTACATTGGATGTTCAAGGTTCACTATATGAGTGAGAACATATGATAATCAGATCTTTGTATCTGTGAGAGATCAATCAGTATTATAGACTCTAGTTTCATCCAGGTTGCTGCGAAATTCATGATTTTGTTCTTTTTTATGGCTGCGTAGTATTCCATTGTGTATATGTACCACATGTTTTAAATCCAGTCCTCTTTTGATGGACAGCATTGTAGCTTCCAGGTTCTTGCTATTGTGAATAATGCTGCAATAAACATACGTGTGCAGGTATCTTTTTATGAAGTGATTTGAGTTCCTCAGGGTATATTCCCAGTAGGGGGATTGCGAGGTCAAATGGGAGGTTGATATTTAGAGTTTTTAGGAATCATCACACTGCTTTGCACAGAGGTTGCACTAGTGTACACTCCCACCAACAGTGTAGAAGTGTTCCCTTTTAGCCAAGCCCTCACCAGCAACTGTTATTTTTTGAGTTACTGATAATTGCCATTCTGACAGGAGTTAGGTGGTATCTCAGTGTGGTTTTGATTTGCAGCTCCCTGATGATTAGTGAGGTTGAACATTTCTTCATGTGTCTATTGGCTGCTCGGATG